TTTCAACAACGCTAATAAAAAATAGGGGTCAGCAAAAAAACCGAAAAACTGACCGAAACCGAACCAAAAAATCGGTTAACCAAACCGGTAAGTTCAGATTCGGTCCGGTGTTTTTAAAAACCAAAGGTACCGGTTCGATTTCAGTTAACCAATATGAAAAACTGGTTCTTAACTGAACTGACTGGTATACATGTTTTTCTATATATTTTCTATATATTTATGTATATTAGATTTTATATATTATAAATTAATAAATATGCATTATATGTATATATAAATATATATTTATAATATATTATTTAAAATATAATATTATATATTTATATATATATTTTATAATAAATATTATAAAAACTAAAAAACCGGCAAACCAAATCGACGGTTAACCGAATCGGTCAACCAATTAACCGACTGATTTCGGTTTGGTTCCGGTTACCGGTATTCTAAGTTCTGTGACTACCGGTTCGGTTCACAAAGCACCCATTAAAAAATGCCGAGTTCTGTGACTTACAATTTTATAAACCTCGCTGTATTTTTGTTATAACAAAAACCTCTCTCTACGGTGAAGTTATGAAAATGCCCTTATGACCATTATGCATTAAGGCATCATTATACGTACCCAAAGTTCAAGATTTGCCCTTCAATATGCCCTGACAACATGGCATAGCAGAGACGGTTAGAAATAAGAAATAGGTTGATGCAGTGGCGATCCTTCTGTAACATCTCTTCTCCTCTCGGAAATACAATCTTCACTATTGGTTTCTTATTCATTAATTTTGTTCAAGTCTAAGAATTGCACGATCTGCTTGGTTGAGTTCAAGTATGGGGAACCCTTAAGCTGTGTTTGGTTGCAGTGCAAATTTATTTGCACTAGTATAGATGCATGGGAGTGCAAATAAAAAAAATGCAAATTTTCATTTAATTTTATTTTGGGTTTTATTCTATTCTGCTTCATGTCTTAAAATTTGAAATAAAAATAGGTCAGAATTTACAATCAAATCATTTGCACTGCCATACTTTTGCAACATTGCAAATTTATTTGCATTGCAACCAAAAACAGCCTTAGGTTTTGCAAGATGTAAGCACATCTTTTACATAGATTGTATTGAATCTATTGATCAGTGGCTACCGGCTCAATCATCATTCTGTCTAGTTTATAGGAATCAAACAATCGAGAATAATGTTAATCAAGGGTTTTAAAATCGACCCGGACAATGAACCAGTCAGGGGTTCGGTTCTCGGGTCGAACTGTCCAACCGTCCAAACCAAATGGATGGCCTGTTCTAACAAAAAAAAGGGTCAAAAACTGGGTCAGCAGTTTGCTGACGAAATCAACGTTTTTTTTGAAAAAAATCCGGTTTTGGGGAAAACCAGAACTGGTCACCTGACTAGTTCCCAGTTTTTCCGGTCCAACTGTCTGGTCTGGTCCGATCTGGTTTTGAAAACCATGATATTAATCGTCAAACATCCAACTGTAGAAACGGTGGTGGTAGGATTGGTAATGGATCACCACTTCTGGTTCTTAACTTTATTCGTTCAGTTCCATCGGCCTAACCAACCATAATTCTATACCGGAGGAGTGGGAGTATAAATACAAATATGTAGAACGCAAAATCTTATATTTTATATTATTTTGTATGTATTTATATTATACATATTTATAGACCTGTTCATGGGCCGGGTGGCCCGGCCTCCGGACGGGCTTGAACATGGTTATAGGCCCGCGGGCTTAAACTCGGGCTATAAAGCCCGGCCCGCAATAAATTCGAGCCGGGCTCGGGTTTTGTCAAAATAGCCCGGCCCGACCTAAACCTAGACCTAAAAAACCCTAATCGAATAGCCCCATCTTTTTATTATCTCTTTGCCTCTTCCCCTCTTCTTTTTCCAGCCGAACCCTTCTTCTCCAACCTCCACATCCTCCACACTCCACAGTGAGGCAGCGAACGTTCACCGGCGCAATAACTCCAACAGCGACGGTGAGTTTTCTCTCTCTCTCTCTCTCTCTCTCTCTAATGCGAAGTTGTGAACTGATGAGGGATCTCTGTCAAAGTGCGATGGTGAGTTTTCTCTCTCTCTCTCTCTCTGATGCGAAGTTGCGAACTGATGAGGGATCTCTGTCAAAGTGCGACAGTGAGTTTTCTCTCTCTCTCTCTCTTTCTCTGATGCGAAGTTGCGAACTGATGAGGGATCTCTATCAAAGTGCGACGGTGAGTTTTTTCTCTCTCTCTCACTCTCTCTCTCTCTGATGTGAAGTTGCGAATTGATGAGGGATCTCTGTCAAAGTGCGACGGTGAGTTTTTTTTCTCTCTCTCTCTCTCAGATGCGAAGTTGCGAAGTGCGAACTGATGAGGGATCTCTGTCAAAGTGTGACGGTGAGTTTTCTCTCTCTCTCTCTCTGCGAAATTTATTAGGTCGGGCTTTGGGCTTCGGGCTCGGGCTCGGGCCCAAGTTATAAGCCCGTAGGTCGGGCCGGGCTCGGGCCTAGCATATTTTCATTAATGGGGACTAAAAGCCCAGCCTGAGCCCGGCCCATAAAGAGGTCTACATATTTATATTTGTACTCCTAAATCTCAAATCCTCCCGGGCAAAACTGTCAGTTGTTAGCCGACTGTAGAGTCCTTTTATCTCACATCTCCTCTACCTCGGTGAGATTCGTTCCTAGATCTGCAAACAAAGCAGATCTATCTCTCGATCGGGTTTATACTTGGACTGTGATTCCATCTTTTCTCTCTGACCCTGAATAGTTAATGAAATTGCCTAATCAGGGTAAAAAAAGTTCTAATACAGCTCATCTTTTTTCCCTCATTCATTATAATAAAGTGGAGACTTTTGATATTTTGTGGATTTTCAAGTGAACAATTTTGTTTTAGATGTTACAATTTTTTTTTCTTTTTTTAAATGGAATCCAGAAAAAAAGGAAGATTACTATAATGCCCCGATTTCTTGCATAGGGAGTTCGGGAAGACGTTCAAAGTGGAATGATGGGGAAGTAGGATGAGAAAAAAAAGGCTTACTTACAATGATATCGGAAATGAATTTAGGGTCTGTTTGATTTGCATTCGGAATAGGAATTAGAATTCTTTGGAATCGGAATTAAAATGGTCTATTCCTATAATCTGTTTGGTTAAATAGCTATGAGAATGGAAATTGGAACCAGTAGGAGTGTGATTTCATTTCCAAAGGAGGGGAAGGGAATGATTATTCCCTCAAATAGAAGAATGACATTCTATCAGGAATGGGAATGAGATTCTGATTCTACCTAACCAAACAATTGAAATCGGAATAACCCATTCCAATTCTTATTCCCACAAACCAAATGGGGCCTTAGTTTGTCTGAGAGGCTTGAGGAAGAAATGGAGGGAATGATTGATGGAATTGGTTAGGGTGATTTAGCTAAGACGAGTGGGTGGCATAGGAAAGACCGTCTGACCGGATGTTCCCCATATAAATCTAGTTTGGGGTATTTTAGTAAATGCTCACCTGAGCTGAAAATTTCAAGGCCAAAATTGGAAATTTAATAAAACTAATGCATTATCTCAACATTTTCCCTATGTTTTAAAAACCAACCCAAATCCAGAACTTTGGTCACCTGTTTTTGTATTAACAGTTCTACTGTTTGGTCTGAATGGATGTCTAGTTGCAATTAAAAGAATAAAAAATGGCCAAAAATTATTTAAGTTGAAATGGTTTGACTGTTCAAGTCAACAGATCACTGACCAGTCAACAATTTTTGGCAAAAGATCAGTTCAAAGGTGAAATAGAAAAATGGCTTCCGGGCCAAATAGTCCAACTGCCTGGATCGATGACAGTTCAAAAACCATGTAATACATATCAACACCATAGGAAAGATTTTACGCTATGTTTGATTTGAAGGAAAAAGTAGGAAAAGGAAAGGAAATGAAATCTTTACAAATTTTGTATAAATTTCCCTGCATTTTCCTTCCTTTCCTTCAAACCAAACATAGCTTAGGGTTTGTTCCCCCCCCCCCCCCCCCCGGTCCCCAAGTTCTAAGGGTGCCCTCTTTTCTGACCGCTGAAGTTGGTTGCTAATTTCTCTGACCACTGACTAGCCATTATAAAAGTGCTAATTTCAAACATCAGACCTCCCAGCTGCCACACACCATTTTCCCTCTCACTTGTAAATCGTACACGTGGCTACCTAACCATCAATCTTAGACATTCTAAGTTGATTATCTACCTTTTCGATGGCCCCTTCTGTCCTAATTATCCTAGCCATTCAAAGCTGTGTGGCTCTTGATCGGACGGTGAAGAGGTGTCCCAAGCTGCCAAGCAATTGAGTGGTCTAGTTCAATGCGCTTTAGGTGAAAAGCTCATATGTTATGCATACCACGCATTATGCTGTCTTGTTTGCAATTTGCAGAGATCCTTTCTTCATCTTCACCCGTCTTTTTGGGATTTGCGAAGTCCACGTGTCACATCTGTGTACTTCTTCTTGAAGGATGGTTTCCATCAAAAGACAGGACCAAAGTGAGGAGCATATCAAGTGACGTGTCACTCATTGGACCGTCCACTTGGTGATTATATCTTGTATATAATAATCTAAAAAATTATAGCCAAGGATAAAAAAGTAAACAAAAAACAAAAGGGAAGAAAACAAGAAAGGACCACCCACCACCTCACGTTTAACCGGAGATTGGGCATTCCATCCAAAATACTCTGCTTGGACACTAGTAGAGAGGATGAGTGTCATCCATGGATTTATCTGTTTCCATCATCTGACATCAGAGAAGAGAGAAGAGAGCAGAGAACCAGCTAGAGGAGAAGATTATTAATTGATTTTTTCTGGTCTTACGAGTTTGACAAAAACGCAGTGATTCTTAATCAATATTCGAGGTTAGGAAACGCCTGTCCTTGCCACGTAAGCAGATTATCACTCCACGTGGCAACCTTTGGTTGGAAGATGTATTACAGCCTCAAATTAGACATCCCCAGGATGAGGATGCACCATGGAAGTTATAAATAAAGTGAATGAGAGCAAGACTGTGCGTGGCTGCTAAAGGGATAGAAGAGTGAGACCGACCCACACCAGAGACTCGGGAGACAGATAAGAGAAGGGAGTGGTGGTGGTCGTCTCGTCAGTCGTCCCCAAAGACATCCAAGGAATAAGTAAAGACTAAAGAAATGGCATCTGCATCTCTCCTCAAGTCGTCTCCAGTCCTCGACAACTCTGAGTGGGTGAAGGGCCAGACCCTTCGCCAGCCTTCGGCTTCGGTTGTCCGCTGCCACCCCGTCTCTCAGTCTGCTCTTACCATCCGCGCTGGATCATACGCCGATGAGCTCGTCAAGACTGCGGTACGTTAGACGTTGTAATTGATTGACTTATTTGTTCATCTTAAACGCTGCATCCTTTAATTCCTTTTATTACATAAGTTAATTGAATGTGGGGATGCACGCAGAAAACCATTGCATCTCCTGGCCGTGGAATCTTGGCCATGGACGAGTCGAACGCGACCTGCGGGAAGCGTCTCGCCTCCATCGGTCTGGAGAACACTGAGGCCAACCGCCAGGCATACAGGACACTCCTAGTCACCGCTCCTGGCCTAGGAAACTACGTCTCCGGTGCTATCCTCTTCGAGGAGACACTCTACCAGTCCACCGTCGATGGCAGAAAGATGGTCGACGTGCTCGTCGAGCAGAAAATCGTCCCCGGTATCAAGGTTGACAAGGTAAGAAATAAGAAAACCTCGATCCTGTCTGTTGTCTTAAGAGCATAAACTTACATATACAGTACTGACAACTGATAACATCTCCTTCATATATGGGTTGAACGATGTGTGGACAACAGGGTCTGGTTCCCCTGGCTGGATCCAACGACGAGTCATGGTGCCAGGGTCTTGACGGCCTTGCCTCCCGCTCAGCCGCTTACTATCAGCAGGGTGCTCGTTTCGCCAAATGGTACAAATTCTAATCTCTCCACAATTCCAATTCCAACGATAACTCTTTTTCACTTTGATCGGTGGCCGTTCTGAAACCTGTGGTTTCTCCCCAACAGGCGTACCGTTGTGAGCATTCCCAACGGTCCATCTGCACTGGCTGTGAAGGAAGCAGCCTGGGGTCTCGCTCGTTATGCTGCAATTTCTCAGGTACACAAACTAAAATCGAGTTTTGGCTCTCTTCTTTCGGCCTGTAATTTATGCTCAATTCAATTTAATTCACCTCTCCATGTCAACAGGACAACGGGTTGGTTCCAATCGTGGAGCCGGAGATCCTGCTCGATGGTGAGCACGGAATTGACAGGACCTTCGAAGTTGCCCAGAAGGTTTGGGCCGAGGTCTTCTACTACCTTGCTGAAAACAATGTCATGTTTGAGGGTATCCTCCTCAAGCCCAGCATGGTTACTCCTGGTGCAGAGTGCAAGGACAAGGCATCACCTCAACAGGTTGCAGAGTACACCCTCAAGCTCCTCCACCGGAGAATCCCCCCAGCTGTCCCCGGAATCATGGCAAGTTTTCATTGAAACCAATCTCTTTATATAAACTCATCACCATTTCCCTCACTTGATGGATAAATCATGTATGTATGTACCCATTTGCTAATTTGTTTTGATTTTAACGATGAGCAGTTCTTGTCTGGTGGGCAATCCGAAGTGGAAGCAACCCTGAACCTGAACGCCATGAACCAAGGCCCTAACCCATGGCATGTGTCGTTCTCATACGCAAGAGCCCTGCAGAACACTTGCTTGAAGACATGGGGAGGAAGGCCGGAGAACGTGCAGGCAGCCCAGGAAGCTCTGCTTATCCGGGCCAAGGCCAACTCTCTGGCTCAGCTCGGCAAGTACACCGGCGAGGGAGAGTCAGAGGAAGCCAAGAAAGGAATGTTCGTCAAGGGCTACACTTACTAGGACCGATGTTGTACTTGTACCAAATCTATAGACGATGAAGAAGATCAATATATTGAAGCCCTGAAAGGCTCTCTATCTCACTCTGTTATGCTTATAGCCATGGAGACTATTTTTGTTCGTTAAATGTAATTTTTAGAGACTTAATAAGTTTCTGGCAGCTGATGAGATTTGTAGGTGTCTACCTGCGTATGGTATATTTCTTGTGCTTACATTTGGTTTGGCAGCAAGGGCACTTAAATCTTCCTTCTCTTCTCATCTTAGCCTATTGATGATCATACTCTGCTAGCTATTTCAGCCTGGCTTTTGGATTTCTTTGCTTAACCATTACTCAGCACACACACATATTTAGCCAAAATTTTGTTGGAACTAAGATATGGAAGTAGCCTATTTTGTTCATTCCTTTCATTCAGCTGAGCTAAGGGGACTTGGTGAACTGTGTCCTTGAAGTCTCCTTGCAGAGTACTCAATCGTAGTTCTCAATTAACAGGAAATTAAACACAGCTTAATAAGTTTTTTTTTTTTTTTTTTTTTCAGCCAATATAGTTGTCCTTACTCAATTCATCACCAGTATCTAATTCAGGCCGCTTTCTTGTTGTTGAGTACAGATCATAAAGATGGGTTTAATGTTCCTGGTTCAGAGGCTCAGGAAGGAATGTTGAGTTCCTCCCTATGATTTAGTTTTCATATTCTGGTTGAGATTTATAGTTATACTTAATTTTCCAGATTTTCTTGCAAGAAAAATTAACCAAGGAATAACCCCGTGATTAACTGTAAAAATTCAACCAAAATTATCATGCAGTTCAGTGAACTAAATTTCATGGTAGGCTTTCTTGATAATCTAAATCTTTGTGTGTTCAAGTTCTGGATTAATGTTACAAGATATAAACTTATAGAATAGCCGTCATGGTTGGAGCTCAAGCTGATGGAAATTTGAGCTTGTGGTGTGCTTTTGGTCTTCTGCAAGGATAGAAAGCGACTCCACAACCACCATGGTGAAGCCAACCCACAATACCTTGGAATATATCCTTGGTCATGTATTAGACATGGAATCTAAAGCCAACATGGAAACTTGATTTCAGTTCAAATTCCTGCAGGGAAGAAATCAGATAGCAGATTGGCTTGGTAACAGCTGCATGGTAACAAAGGAAAACATGGCCATCTCTTTTTAAAAAATGACTTTAATCACGGCCTCACCTACAATTTCTAAAGAATGAATCATAAATTTTGCTTACTTTTGAAGATGTTTGGGGCTAACTACTATGTACTGTATAGTGTAGTCATTTCACAGTATTTCCCAAGACAAAAAACAGAGAGAAAACCTTAAAATCAGATTACCTATCTATATGTCATCCAAATAAGCTGTTTTGCTAAACAGAAGAGATATATACCGTGGTCAATCATGTTACTTCCAAAAATTGGATGGATTGGGTAGTCTCAAAGAACCATTCAACCTAAAAGCTTAAGCTGTTAAGTGAGGTCCTTGAACAAGTTTTATTCTCTAACATGCCCCCTCACATGAAAGTCCATTGGGCTCGAAGTGTGGACAGCACAGGCCCACCACCTTGTGCTGAAACTTAATTAATTATAATGGGGGTGACAAGAATCGAACATTAGAACACTTGGTCAAAATGACTCTGATACCATTTCAGAAAATCATTCAACATGAAAGCTTAAACTGTTAAGTGAGGTCCTTGAACAGGGCTGAGTGTGATGCAGATTATGTCAAGAATGTAGCTGTTAAGTGAGGTCCTTCAATAGTAGTTGATGTGTGATGCAGATTCAGCAGATTAGCCATGATATAATTCATAATATATAGATAGTGTACAGGGTTGAGTGTGTGTAGTGATGAGGACCAAGAACTTAATCCAAACAAAACTAATCCATTTGGAACCCTATTTTTTGCACAATGTGGCTGTTCTCATACTTGGACCCGTTTCTGTCAAGAAAAGATATATATGATACCTAAGACAAATTGATTTATTTAGGCGTTTAATGTACACCTTAATTTAATTTCTATGATCAGAGTCTGTCAAACAACCACACTAACAAACTTAATTACTAGCAAGCTAGAGCTAGAAATTATTAGACATATACAGAGACACACACATATACATATACACTGTTTTGAGTTTATTAATCAGGATGTTTATTCTTCTGATTGCAAGCAATTACGTAGAATTCTCTTTCTGGAAATTACATTGCGAGATCAGCCATGTTAGTGACCAGGTTTTCCATCATCCGAGTTCCTAACTCAGTGGAATGAAGAGCCTTCATGCTAATCATGGATGCCTGAATCGATCTCTGTGCAAGTACAAGAAAAGAATTAATTATTTTCTATATATATATATATATATGTATGCTGTTTGGTTGCAGTGCAATTTTATTTGTACTAGTACAAATGCATGGGAGTGCAAATGAAAAAAATGTAAATTCTCATTTAACTTCCTTTTGGGTTTTACTTTATTCTGCTTCATGTCATAATTTACTGCAATCAAACAAAATAAGTTTAAATTTGAAACAAAAATAAGTCAGAATTTATAATCAAATCATTTGCACTGCCATAGTTTTGCATCAATGCAACTTTATTTGCATTGCAACCAAACACAGCTATAAGTGCAATGTACGTGGTCGCATGTTTTGGGATTTGGGTTTAACTTACGCTTGGTGGAATCCATGTTGATGACCTCTTGAGTGAGCAGGAAGAGAGAGGCAGAACGGGGAGCTTCTCACAGTTGCAGATCTCAATCATGTATCCATCTGGGTCATGGAAGAATAGCTGGTCAACCTTGATCTCTCCTTCCTCGTCTACAGCAGTCACATACTTCATTCCCATCTCTTCAAGCTTTCTCTTCACCAGCTCTACGTCTGTACACTGTATCCATTATTTAAGCAGAAAAGCTTGATAAGTGATGGATAGATATGTATGACATGATCCTCATTGATTGTTAATTTCTGAACTACTCATATTGAAACAACAGCTTACTTGGAAAGAAATGTGATTGTCTTTCGGTTTGATGATTGATGGCTTCTGAAGAACATCATCAACAGAATCACACTGCAACAAATGTATTCCAATACCATAGTTGAATAACCTACAAAATCCAACTCAAATCAATCTACAATCATGCTTTACTTCGTATAAGAGCAAAAGAAACGAGAAACAAGGGAGCTCTGAATTTGAATGTTCAGTTGCTTGGAGCTATAACTTCAATTCTATTTGATGTTTGACAGTTAAATTTGGGTAAGGTTGCATAGGGGTGTCCTTTGTCTTTACGTAGTTAAATTTAATGGATTATCCCCACCAACCCCACCCCAGTCAGCAGTCTAGTGCAATTTTGCACAATCTACCTTTTCTTTTCTTTTCCATATGAGGGCCCGTTTGGTTCACAGGAAAAGGGGTCTGGAATCAAAATCAGGAAAAGAGTCATTCTGGTTCCAACTGTTTGATTCACAGGAAAAGGGGTTTGGAATCACTACTACTTCAATTTTCATTCTGATTCAAACAGATTAGAATAAACCATTCCATTTCTGATTTTTAGGGATTTTAATTCCGATTCGGATTCTAATTCTTACCGTAAACGAAACAGACCCTGAATTTTCTTCTCTTTTTTTCTAGGGACGGATTGCTAGCTAGTGGATTCAGTTATATCATTAGAAGTTAGGTGAACTTAGCAATCTCTAGTCCATGAACAGTGGGTACTATCAATTATGTATTTGGTATAGCTTTCGTTTATTAAATAAGCATTTGTACTTGATTTGTCTTCAAAATCAAGAAAAAGTGGTTGATAAACATTTTTTCTGAGATTTATTGACAATTAGACGTCATTAGGTGCCATTAGGCGCCACATCAGTGGAATGGTAAATAAACGTTTAACAAAACTTTTCCCAACGGTTGACATGCACGAAAATCAAGACCAAATTTATCAATACCTATGTACAAATCGGCATGATGGGACAAATGCTGATTTATCAATGACATGGCACCATTTATCAAATAAATGGAAACCATACCAAACACTGCCCAAATCAACCTAGTGTTGATCTGCTAAAGTGTACCGCAAAGAAGTGACAAAGTATGAGATTCCATATATATTACTATGTATAACATATGGAGTATCCCATCAAGAAATCTTAATTAATAACTTACCATGCTCCTTCAAAATCAAAAGAGGAGGGTCTTTTTACTAGGACGAACCCAAGAACTTCCTGATAGAACTTGGCTGTTTCTGTCACAGATTTGCACAGGAAAGAAACATGGTTGAGTGAGAGGAATGGGAGAGCTGAATTTTCAAGCTCTTCCCGGATATCCATACTTTAACTTCCTCCTTCGCTCCTCTCTCCCCCTGACTGGCTTTTTTTCATTGAGAGGTGGTAACTTGGAAACTGTATATATTTATATGGTCTGTGAATAGGTGGGGGACTGTGCGACGCATATAATTGATGATACACGTTTACCCTAGAATAAATAAATGAGAAAATTCCCTATTAGTATCCTGTACTTTGGGTCTAGTGTCACTTTGGTCCTCAAACTTTAAATTACGATAATTCGATATCTAAACTTTTAAAATGTGACAATTCAGTATCTATCATTAACTAATTGTTAATCAGCATTTAAGTGACATTTTAAAAAGATAGAAATACCATTTGAGTGTCATCTAATTTTCTTTATCAACTATTCAAACATTGACAAAAAAATTAATAATTCCAAATCCTTGCGTCTTCTATTAAAGAAAGTTGGGGTCATCAGAATGCTCACTCAAATATAACCCCGACTTTTTTGAATGGAAAAGCAAGAATTTGGGACTGTTAATTTTTTGTCAACGTTTAAGTGGTTGATAAAGAAAATTAAATGATATTCGAAGGACATTCCCTAAATAAATCTATTTCTGCGGCTGTATCTAAGCCGAATAATTGCACAGAGAAGCAAACCGGAAGAAGGGATTAGACTAATCTAATACCATGGGCTTGTCAGATCAATTGTTAAGAAAAAATATTTTTCTTGAGCTGCATTTGTTTCCACGTAGAAGTAATATCATCGCCTCATCGGGATCCAGAGAAGGACGACCCAGATACAGAGTCCTTGTCCTAACTATCATCTGCAGTTCTACCCATATTACTGGCCAATCACAGTGCACCACATCATCTAACTCTGTATCTTGTGGGTTGTGGGTGTGACTTCTTTAAGTCAACCTTTTGTATGAATTGAATTTGGTGTTTTTAGGAATTCAACAATTTTATTAAGGGGGCGTTCTTTTTCTGATTTTTGAGAGGGGGAAAGTTGGTGAATGGGATTTTGGTTCTCATTGAACAAGAATCTCATGTTTATTTTTCAAATTAATGTGAGGATAAGGGAAAATTTATTGTCCTGGGTATCACTTACCCAGGAAAGTAATACCCATCTCTCCACCTAGGAGGAAAGTTGTTAGCACTTGAATGGGACAAAAATGCCCCTTTTAATAATGGATTTTTATGACTAAAATGGTCGTTATCTTATTTACCTGAGAAATAAAAGAATATGGGTAAATGTACTTACTCGAGTAAGTGTTTCCAGGAAAAACTTACCCAGATAATATTTACCCGAATAAGTAACTTATTGAAAAGTGAATAAGGCCTAAATAATATATATATATATATATATATATATATATATATATATATATATATATATAACTTAAATTAAAAAAAGAGGTGCATGATTTAAAATACCGATGCTCCCCTTACCATTGATACTTTGAACCATGATTATATTCGATTTATTATGAGGGTTCCAATGAAAGCCAGGGATTTTATAGTTCAGTCCACCCCTAAGGTGGAGCTAGGATTTCTAAGGGTAGACTGAATCCTACCCGTGGATTGATGCCAAATTTACAGGCAGGATGCGGTTTATAGAAGGGATTACTAATAGAATAAGAGGGGGCTGCAATTCAGATTTCTTTGATGGATTGCAGTCCACTTATCCCTAAATTTATAAACTATTAAGTTGAGAGTGCCATACGTTTACATGTTTGCCTCAATTTGAAGTTTGGAATGGACCCGTTAAACAACTGTAAAAATATATCGGTTATTTGATTGGAAATCAACAAGATTATTCTTTTTTCACCCCAACTTAATTTGATTATATTTAGGTTTTGACACATCAAGAATATTTATTGGCTGCATGCCCTCTCATCAACTCGATATCCTCGTTGCAACTTGGAATATTCTGTCTGAAGTTTCGTAATTGCACGAAAAGTTTTGAAGTATTACTGGTCTGGATGTGGAACATTTTTATTATAGTATTGAAGTTTCCAGAGGTGAAGCTTAGAGAGAAAGAATGAAGTTCCTTATTATGGCTTAGTTATTCTATTGAAATAGGACCAACCATTTAATGCCTGTTGCAATCTTAAAGATTTCTTTTTTCGAAGGTTCATGAGTAACGTCACAATTCTTGAATCCTTTACTGCTAAAGCTCTCTCTCGAGGTGATGCCGTAAGGAACAGCAACGATCCTAGCCACAAAGGATCCACACTCAATTTGTGGATATATTCAACTGCGAATTTGCTTCAAACTTCAAAAAGCGACAAGTAATGCAAATGGATTGGATGGGATTTTATAAATATAAATCTAAATTTGAATCTTTTAATAATGTCGGATAATTTGAATATGATTCCATCCAATTTAATTTCTGAAAAATTAAAGTAATATAACAGGTTTATATAAAGAAAAAAATAAAAAAATGCAATTTTTTTTCAATTATTTTTGTTATATACATGTATTTTTATAAAAAATTATAAAAATGAAATCCTATTATCCAATTTTAAATGAGATCGTATTATCCGATCCAAAAATATAATAAGAGTATATCTGAATCCGACAAAATAGGATCAGACAATTTCATTTGCACCCCTAAGCTCCCTTTAAAAAGTGTTTCACTGGATGTGGATACATTGCAATATTTTGAACCTTGGGCTTACCAACAATTTCTTTAGATACAAGGGGCCAACGTCTGAAATTGGTCAGCTACTTCTCTGGGAATAACCGCAACCCCAACGTAAAAAAATGAAATAAGATAGACATGCTGCAAATAAATTAACAAATTGTAAGTCTGTGGGCTGTAGATTATGGTGGGGCAGATCACCCTCTTGCAAACTTCTATCAATCATCAATTATCTCGTAGTTTGCATTTACTAATGGCATTGCTTGGAAAAATTTTTATGTACAATAAAAAAAGGAAATAGGGGAGGTGAAGGGTCCTATCACCACAGTATCTCATTTAATTTTCTCTCTCACACATGTGCCTATTTATTTTTAAATTAAATAATTAAAAATATAATAAGTCAAAACTAAAACCCTCATGGATCTTCATTGTCTCTCATCAAATTCATATTTACTATCTAATAAGATCATTTTTAAATCTCTCTCTCTCTTACGTTAACAATTGATGTTTGAAACATCTTCTTTCCCATTAAATCCCTCTTTTCCTCTTAAATATCTCTTAGGGTGCGTTCTTTTTCTTTCTTTTTCTTTTTTTTTTTTTGGATTTTGAGAGGGGGGAAGTTGGTCAATGGGATTTTGATTCCCATTAACCATGAAACCTATGTTCTTTTTCCAGATTTATGTGGGGACTAGGGAATTTAAAATTTATTTTCATGGGTATCACTTACCCATCTCATAGGTGGGTAAGTAACTTTTCTGGGGGAGAAGTTGAGAACACTTGAATGGGACAAAAATGCCCCTTTTAATAATAGAATTTTATGGATAAAATGGTCATTGCCTTATTTACATGGGAAATGAAAGAACATGGGTAAATGCACTTGCCCAGATAAGTCTTTCCTGGGAAACACTTACCTGGGTAAGTGCATTTACTTGGCTAAGTAACTTACCGAAAAGTGAACGAGGCCTTAATCCCTTTTGGCTTTCTAATAAAGTAGGGGTGTAAATTAGATGGATTCGGATAGGTTAAAGACCAACTTGCCTACTAGTACATGGGGTGAAACAATCTTCTTATTATACAAAAATCTAAAGAAACCATTGCTCTTTTCCATGGGTTATTAAGTTTTACTATTTTTATTAATTTAATTTAATGTAGATCTGTTTCATGGATTGTTCTGGTTCAATAATAAAATGCAGTAATAAAGAACTAAACATGAGCCTTTAGTTATCTTCATCAGTTCAATTTTGAAATTGTTTTCTTAATTTGGTTATTGATCTCATGCTAATCACTTTTTTTTTTTTTTTTGACTTTATAGGGCTACACAATGGGGGGGGGGGGGTAGCCCATTCCCCCAACCAAGTTCTTTGCTACAACTAGCTAAATAACCTATCAATTGAGCCACCATTAGTTGATTTATGTGCTTCTTATAATATATATGCTATATAAAAAAGGAAAGTTTGAAGCTCAATAACTAAAACAAGAGAAGAAAAATTGATTTTTTCTATTATTCTATATATAAAAAATTAGAAATATGTAAACATTTTTGATGAAGGAAGATTTGGCCCAACCTCGTAACCACTCAACACGTGGCAAAGGCAACAGCTCGCCAAGGCGCGAGCTCCGAAAGGAGGAACCAGCGGTCCGATCTCCCTGCAAGGGGCCCGAACTCCCAGTACGGAGCTTGATCTCTCCCTTAGGCCCCGAGCCTTATGAACACAAAGGGAAACAATTCGAACTGGCCTGCCCCATGGCAGTTCGGGCCACACCTCTGTCCGAACTCAAGACTTCGCCTCACACACCACTCCAGCACTTCGACCCTAGGACACTGAACTGAACAAACCGTACCTAACACCGAAGGAGTCCGTATCCAGGGGTGGCGCACCTGACTGACTTGGGAGCTGACGCTTAACAGCTGCATTCCAACGGCCACCTGCCACCGCCATCTCCAGTTATAGAGACGGCTCCGACAAGGAGCAGTGGTGGTTCTGTCCCAATAGAGGTGATGACACCCGAACTGGCAGAAGCATAGAAGTAATCATACCCGACCTAACAGAAGCCTCGGAGTGAGTGCGCGAAGTGGTTATAAAAGGCTCTCTACCCCCCAAGGACAAGGTATGTGAACTTTGCGCCATTTGGTTTTATCTTGCCTTTGAGAGAATACTAACTTGAGCTTTGGAGTGATCTTGCCGGGTTCCTCCCCGAAGATTCCCCACTTTCTTCTCCGTTTTAGGCCCCCCTGTTGCTCCAGTCAGAGGCAAGGTCGTTGACAGCTAGGACTGGCCGGATTGCGCACCATCAATTGGCGCCGTCTGTGGGATACGCTTCTAAAAGCCTCCCTCTAAAACTCTCATAACCTCTTTTCTCCAAAAACCCCAACACTCATGGCTTCTTCCAGCAATGTTGGATGTGGCAC